ATTGCACTGTACTCTGTTTCTAGCACTAAGAGTTGTTTGGTAACAAGGGCTTTGGCCTTTTTATCTTCTCGTTCTTGCGTCTTGTTTGTTGCTTCAGGATCGTAATATGTTTGGACAGTAGTACCCTTCTATAGTATTTAAATCTGTGCTGGGAAAACTATATAAATCCATATTTGTTCAGACTTTCTCAAGGCTTAACATATTTTTTCAAAGGTTTAATTTATGCTGAATTTGAAACTGCTGAAATGAGTATCATAACTGAATGGAGTGTAGCTGTAGACAGATAAATGACTATGCAAAAATGACACGGTAGCGATCCATATTTATACACTGGCATTTTAATGCATTAGCTCAACTCATTCATTATGTAATTTTCTATTCCTTTTCAGAAAACAAGCTGCAATCGCTGTCGTCCTTTTTGTTGTTAATGATGTTTCTTTATATTAGCTTGCAGTTTTGAGAAAACACAGAGAACGACATCATGAAGTTTAGCATATTACTTCTACAACTCCAGTGCTAGTAGTAGAAATGTATGCTTCTTCGCAAAGTAAACAAACATAACTCTTGACAGCTAGGGAAGAAATACGCTGGGTGAGAGACTTAATTTTGCGTCAGTTGGTCAAGTCCAGGTATGCCTTTAAGGGTCAAATGGCAATTATGTAAAAATACATACACAGAAGCCCGTGAGAAAAATTACTTTTCCTATGGGATTCCTAATGCAGCCCTGTACAGTCCAACTGAGAACAAAGAGCATCATTCTGAATCTTTCCTTAGTTCACAAAGTCCGAGTTGTTTAGTGTGTTGTGATATATTATTTTTACAGAACGTGATGTAACAGTGGTCTGGGAGCCTAGCTTAAATACGTGTGAACCTATTTGATCATGCAGTGACCAATTAAAAGAACATTCCCAATCCCCCATTCTTTATTTGGCTGGTGAAGGATGTTTAAATTATATTACAGCCTTGAAAGATAAGTTAATTGCATTTATTGCCTCAGTTTCCATAACATCCTTCCAAATTTGGTATTAAGTTTTTCTTGCTAGTCTGTATTACTTAGCAAATGGATGCTATGGGGTGTTTCTCCCGATCTTGAAAGTTATTTAATGACCTCTTTCCTTCCCACCCTTCTTCCTTGTGCATGCCACTCACCAGAAAATGCCACCTATTTGTACTAAGCTTCCTAAATCTAGCTTGGAATCATGCTTTCTCTTTAAAAGAGATCACATTGTTTTTTGAAAGGTTAAAAGGATTTTGCTAGGTACTGTTTAATAATTTCTGTCTTGTATATTGTGCGTAAGAAGACATGCCATGCAGTGCATTTTAGTATGATTATAGCATGTCTGAAGTGTTTCATAAAGCAAATGCTTTAATCAGCCACATAGTAATAACACTGTACCTTTAATATAAGAGCTTCTATCCTGGAGGTTGTAATAATCTCCCGTTTCTAGCTTTAGAACTAGCAGAAGTTAATATGCAAATTGCATTGTGAAATGCAGCCAGCTCTGGGGTGAAATGCGATGGGTGATTCGGGATGCACAGTAGCGTTGTATAAGAAGTTACGATATAGAGTGAAGAGAATACTGTGTTAATTGTCACAAAAGATTCTTGGGTTTGGGACAAAATGATTCATTAGGTATGCTGAAAGCATATGCTCAGGTATTGCAGAAGCAGAGGTATATGCTGCCTGTCTAAAGAGCCGGTTGGACCATCTCGCATCGCTGTTGCCCAGGCTATCGAGTTATGTTTACGTTCTCCCTCTGCTCTCGTGTCTTTCTGTCCAAGGCTACTTGAAGGCACATTCTTCAGCTTTTGGAGCTGAAGAGTGGAACAAAAGGCTTCCATTTCTTGTAAAGGATTAGTAAAGAAGTGCGTGTCCATTAATGCTGACACTTTCTCCAGTTCAGAACATCCCATTTCTACTTCTGGATGTTGATGCTGGGACAGATAGGGGTCCAAGTTTTCAGGCTTTCTAGAACAGAACAACCACCGTAGTTAACTTCTATACAAAAGCCTTTTTATCACGTTCAGATTTCTAAAGCCTTTTTAAAAATTCCTTTCAATAAGAAATTGATTCTTCTATTGTGAAAGTTCAGCTCGTTTATGGAAGAAAGCTTTGACACCTGACCTCTTCATGTTCCCTTACGTAGACATGTGTATATACATCATGTTTGGATTGTTTATTTTTGCACAAAATGGATTCACAAGTGAGCCTTGCCTCTGGGTTGCATGATTGCGGTTTATGGATTGCATGGAAAGGAACTTTTGGACTATATAAACAAAAAAACCCTGTTTATAACATCAGTTGCAATATTCTAACTTACCTGCCTGACTGAGAAACTTGACTACACCTCACCAGTTGGTTTAGATATTATTCCTCTGATGCACACAATCCACGTCTTCATTAATGGAGTTTACTAAACTTGCATTTCAGAGCTCTCCTGAAGGACATGTGTTTCTGCAGGGCGGTGCTTCAGAGAGCACAGAATGCTTTGGGTGGGAAGGGGGCTCAGGGCCTCTCTCGTCTGAGCTCCTCCTGTGAGCAGGACCAGCTTGGAGGTCAGGAGCAGGCTGCTCAGGCATGGCCTCACTCTGGAGAAGCTTTTCTGTGCGTCGAGTGGGAACCTCTCTTGTTTTTGTGCCTTGTCCTCCCACTGTGCACTGTCGGGAACATCCTGGCTTCCTCTTTTTGATGACCTCCTCACAGGTGGTGGTGGTGGGGCTGCTCCAGGCTGAGCCAGCTCCGGTCCCTCAGCCTCTCCCTGCAGCGGAGGTGCTCCGGTCCCAGCTGTCTTGGTGACCTTTTGGTGAGCTCACTCTGGTTTATCAATGTCCTCCCTGGACTGGGAGAACCAAAACTGGATGCTGTACCTTGATGTGGTCCAACGGGCATTGGCCAGTGGAGGATGATCACTTCCCTTGGTCAGTTGGCAGGGCTCCTGCTGATACAACCCCAGATGCTGGCCGCCCTCTCTGCTGCCAGGGCACGCTGCAGGCTCCTGTTCAGCTTGCTGTCTGACACAAGGTCCTTTTCAGCAGAGCGGCCTGTGTGGCTGCTAGGGGTTTTCCTTCCCAGGTGCAGAACTCTGCGTTTGTCCCTGTTAAATTGCATGAGGTTCCCCTTGGCCCATTCCTCCAGCCCATCTGAATGGCAGCCCTGCCCTTGAGTGTGTCAACTGGTCCTCCCAGTTGATGCCATGTGAGGACTTGAGCATGCACTCGTGGTCCATGCTGGGATGTGCCTTGACTACTGTCTGTATCAGTGACCTGGAGGAGAAGTACTAATGCCTTCACTTCAATGTGCTTTGCATGTGCATCGTATTCTTTGCTCACATCCTTTTTTGCCTCCCCTATTATTGGAGAGCTTACGTCACCTTGCCTACTGCTTTTGTGTGCTGTGCTAGGAGGAAATTATATTGTAGTTTTATTTTCTTTAGAAACATAAAAAAGTAAAAATTAAACAGCTAAAAAAAAAAAAAAGACATGGGAGTAGGAAGACCAGCATATGTTGATCACTTAACTGATGACCCCAGAGAAGGCTGAAATGAGGAGAGATGGTCCTCTCCTACACTTACTGTTGCCAGCCCTGATAGCTCGCTGCTTTACTCCTCCTTGGTTTACTTTGGTCAGTCTTCAGAGCCTTTCTAAAACGGAACCCTTATGTCACTGGGAATTAAGTCCTTAATCAGTAAACGTGACTTTTTTTTTTACATATTTTTTTATTTCATTTGTAATAAAAGGCTGTAATCTTTATGAAAGTTGGAATTAGAACATTCTTTGCAAAACAGCAGGAAAATATACTTAATTTTCAAAGTATGGAAAAGCCTGTGTGCTGCAGATATAAGTGGTTATGTAGCTGATTTGTCTGAAAAAAAGAAAGAGGATATCTTTCAGTAAAAAAATTCTAAACCAAATAAGATTTTGTAGACACCAAGATCTAGAAACTAAAACTATTTATCTACTTCTGTCCCTCTCCTTGTATGTTTTAATCTATATATTTAAAATTCTGTATCTTTTATTACCCTATGTTAAATTAGAAAATCCTTTATAACATTACAAGTATTTCCAGATGGGCTGTAGCATTACTTCATCCCATTTTCAATTGTCATCATGGAATTGGAATGAACCTTTATTCTTGTTGAAGTTCGGATTACGTATCAGTATTAAGATAACTTCTTTATTGATGTTTGCTTTGAGAATGCTAACGCTTCTGCTCTTCAATCAAGTAGTGGTGTTTTGGAGATGAGTAAGAGAAGTTAAATCAATTCTAAATCAAAGTTAAGAGTTAATTAATGATTATAAATTGTGATCCACCCATACAGATTTTGAATCAAGTAGTGTTTCAAATTTATTTGCTTCTTGTCTCTAAATCTGTACTTTTAAATCAAGACTGTTCTTTTGTTTTCCAACATCTTCAGAGGGTTTTATTTTTATAGGTTGTCTTACTGATTAACGTGGTTTAACTTTACCACAGGCTTGATGCTTGATTTTTATTTTTATTTTTTTCCAGATCAAGGCAGTGTACCTGCTTGTGAGCTTATTGTATCAGGAGGGTTCTTACTCTTCAGGTCTCCATCTTTCAAGTATTTAAAGGCTTGTTTAGATTGTAGACACGTTGTCAAGAAAGTAGCATGATACTAGTTGACTACTTCTGAAACTATTTAGGTTGTAACTTCTAGTGTTTTCTGATTTGATACAGAGAACTAATTTAACATCAGAGTGAGTGGTATAAGGGCAGAGTTTGCCTTAATTCTTTGTTTTGTGTTGAGCGTTTGAGAGGAAGTGGTTTAAAATTCTGGCCTTTGCTTCTGGTGTCTGCTTGTTCTTTGATGCATGGAGAGTCTTGGATAAAAGCTTTTTGTTGAAGTGTTGCACTGAAAATTATATAATTGCTTGTCAGCTTGTTCACTTCATTAGTCTTGTGGAGGGAAAATACTTCTGTATTCCAGCAAGTAGAAGAGAGGCCTTTGCATAGGTTACGTACCATGCTTTATTAAGTGCAGTCTGTGGATACTCATTTTTCTCTCCCTTCTCTCTTTCAGACTCCAGGTAGAGGTGGTTCTCAGAGCTCGGATTCGGATTCATCTGCCACACCAGGAAATGCCGTGGACGTCAACAACGAAGGCTCCTCCGAGGTACTGTGCACTGTCCATGGGACTGGAGTCTTAAACCTTGGGTGCTGTTTCTCTGATGCATTAAGCTGTTGGGAGTAACTTTTGATGCCCTATCTAAATAACAGCTGTACGAAAGAAGAATTGGTTGTTATTTTATCTTCTAAGAATTGGTTGTTTATTTAAATAAAAATAAGGGTGTCTAAGCCGTATAAATATGTAGCTGTTAATTAGGCTTATCTATCTAAATGTTCACAAGCAATCCTTCCTGTAATCCTACAGATGAATTATTAAAAGCAATGAGACACAAGCTTAAGACTTCCTCATTAGTAAATCTTTTTTGAGAATTCCGAAAAATGGGGCTTAACATTTTATCACACTTGTACTGCCTTTTCACCTTTCTTCTGCTAAGCTATAATGTATACTGGAAATCACCTCCTCCTCGTAAAATATCAAACCTGTTGGTGTGTAGATCTACCACTTCTAAACCCTAACCGTGTTTTTATGTGCTGTACGCCATACTTAACCAGCAGAATTAAGTTGTTATTCTTGCTTCAATCCCGTATTACAATGTTTTTGGATTTACAGTGTTGTCAAATATTAACTCTGAAAAATGCAAACTGACTTCACTGGCTCTTGAAGCTAGTTTGTGCTAATGTAGCCTGATTACCTAGCTTGAAAATGTTTTAAGCTTAGCATATAAATGTAGTGCAAGGCTAATTACTCCTATTACAGCCTTAAAGGGAGCAAAGTGCCCTTTCTTACACTGAATAAAGTGTATGAGGATTCAAATACTCCTATGTTTGATATGATAAGAAATAGGAGAACTTTTCACTGTGCTATTTAAAATCCTAATTGCCTTCCATCTACTTATTCTCTTAATTTTTGAGGCCTTCTTACCATCAGTATAATCAGATATTCCTTAATATTTTGCTGCATGTTACATGTCACACATTTGTGAGTCCAAATCTGTTTTGTATGTATATTTACGCTGTCCCTGAAGCAAATAAATATTCTGAAATCTCATTACATTTGTAGTTAATTAAAGCATAAAAATATGCAATGAGATAATTGGTTCTTTCTGAAGTTTGGCTAAAATTGCACAATTCTGTTAACATGAGTGCAATAACACTGACTGTACAGCTGCTGGATGTCACAAGGTACCTCAATACTAATGTAGTAGTTTGTATTTTCTTGACAGAGGATGAGCTTTCAAAGTGATGGTGTGCCTGCACTATTGCACCATGGGCTTTTCTTGCTACGGAGTCGAAACTGGGTCAGACCAAAGGCTGCTGTGTCACTTTTGGTTGATACCGTATAATGTGAAAAACTATCTTTTACTTGTCCACAATTTCACCATCTGTTGTATTAGTTACAAGTGGGGTGTTGTCCTTAGCATATAATTTCAAAATCTGTATGAAACTGAGCTCCAAAGCTGGTGATGGGTTTTTACTCTCCTGAGATTGACATGTTACAGCGTGCAGCTTGAGCCTTTCCCTTGGTCCTCCTTTTTCTGTGCAGCTGGCCTGAGGTGGTGTCTCTCTTGAGAACTTCTCTTCAGGAGTGCTGCAGCCAGACTTTGCAGAACGTTTGCTCTCCGTTTTATTGTTATGTTCCTACCTGGTTCTCCAGTGGTACATAAAGTCAGAAATCCACTTGACTTGTTTGCACTCCAGTTTCCTGGCTAGATCTTCTAATTTGTATTGCTGCAAGATTCAAATGGAGAAGAATTATTGAATCTGTGCAGATTCTCAGGTTTCTTACCTCCTCGAGCCTTTTTTTTTTGAGAATTGTAACGTGAAACAAAAAGGAGTGGGGAAGTCTAATTCAAACTGTTCCTCGCTCAAGAAGAGGTGGAAATCTGTTTTAGTCCCATCTGTGGCCACATCAGCACTTCACATCGCTCATGGACCTGTAATTGAGTCTAGATACATCTTTTATTCACTGTGCAATCTGCCCAAGGAGGAAATGGTGGAGCCTATCCTACCTTTGTAACTTAGGTCCCAGTGCATCTCTGTCTGCAGTACAGGGTTGCTAAATGCTCCATGCTTACAGTGAGTCCACCGGCACGCTTACACTTTCATTAGTGTAACATGGCTGCGTTAGCTGGACAGGCTTTTTGGAAGGGGCCTTAGCCTTTCCATGCACGCACAGAGGGTTGTGTTCAGTCTGCTCTGCCTGCCTCCGTAGCGCTCTGCCACGGAGGCGCCGGCGTCCTCCGACCAGCAGTGTGGACAGGGGCCCAGAGCACTTTACGCTGCTTTTTCCCAGTGTGTAAGCATGTAGCGTGTGTCTTGGAGATGGAAAGGTGTCATTCTTCAGAAACCGATTTAACTTTCGTCTTTAGTAAATCTCTGGTGAGCATGCTGAGGGTTTTTGGTTTTTTTTTAAATTCTACCGAGGAAGGTGTGTATTTTTCCCTAAGCAAGCATGCCAGGCGTGCGGCTGCGCTGGTGCCTAGGCCTCTCCTGCTGCTGCAAACTTCCTTACTAATTTACAGGGGTATTTCTGCAATCTCACCACACCGCCCTTCTCTCTCTCTGTGAAATATCTGAATAGCCTTATGGGAAACTGTGTGATGGATCTGATGTGGTGCCTTATAATGATCCATTCATAATTTGTTATTGCAGCTTATTCCTTTGTCACATGAAGGGTGTACCCAGAGTGTCTGGAAAACACACAGTAGTATGCAGCATGGTAATAGCTTTTAAAGTGTGTTTTAGATTTGTTTATTGTCGTGTTCTTAATAACTGTTACTTCTCACCTTCTCCATGGTATTGATATGTGGTTTGCAAAAGCTATCTTTCCAAAAGGAAAATTGGCTTTGCTTTTGGTGACTGTAGAGAACTTTCAGCTTAAGAATTTGAATAGCGTTTGATTCCAAATCTTCTTTTTTGTCTTTGTTAGTTTCTTAAAAACAAATATACATTTCACAGGGCTTCATCTGTCCACTATGTATGAAAGTGTGTGTAACTCCCACTGATCTGTCTGAACATTACCAGAATGAGCACACGGGGACAGAAGGAAGACAGGAGCTCCGTGACCTCCCAGCTGTTACTGTGGGTCTTGTTTATTTTGTTTCAATAGCTTTGGTAATGGGCTGCTTTAAATGAACGTGCATCTTTTCTCATGGCTTGGGTGTCAGCTTTTAAAATTTTTTCTTTTGATTCCTTGCTGAAACATAATTTGATCTCTTATGCATGATTCCAAAGTATACATTCCGCAGAAGAATTAATCTATGCCTAGCTTTCTGGTTTGCAGTTGTCTCTCACATGAAATATTTGCGGTATTGGGAGACTTGCAGTCACAGATTTGTTCTTTTTGAACAGCTTTTGCTTGATTTTATTGTAAATAAGACTATTGCATTATTTGATTTACTTCACTTCAGACTCAGTGTAGTGATAAATGTAGTATTGGATCTGGTACATCCTTTGTGGAAAAAACCCTGTTTCCAGCTCTTATTAGCTAATTATTTTTAAAGCAGATTTCTTGTGGGAGATAGGTACGTTGGCTAAAAGATGGAACAGAGGACATGAATATAAAAAATTTAGAAGCTTCTCTTCTTGAACATAAGACCCTTATGTATTGCAGCAACATTATTTAAAAAAAATTATTTTAATAGAATTTTACTGGAATTTCTTTATGCCCCCAACAAAATGTAAAGGCTATTTCAGTTAATCGACATTATAAAATAGTAGTGCATTTCTAAATGCTTCCAATTACGTAGTGTAAAACTACACAGTTAAAACAAAGTGTGCAGCTTTATACTCCATAACTGGAAGAATTTAGATTCTGTAAGGTAACAGCCTCCAGCTGCACAAGGCTATCTGAATTTTTTTTTTTTTTTTCCTGCTGTGAAACTTCAGAGAGTAGATTTGACTTCTGGGGGCAGGCAGCTTGCGAGGCACTAAACGGGTTTGTATGGAGGTGAAGTTTTGCATTCTTTCTGGTGACGTTACTTTTGTTGAGTTTTGGAATCAAAGTGTTTATTCTAGGCTATGTGAGCGATGTGATTCTTACTGTGTTTGTTGCTGTATGCATTTGCTAAGTTGTGCTTTTTTCCTTCCCTACAATCAATGTGTATTTACACTTTATTTTTGAAGGGAAAACTTCAAATTGTGGGATGTTACTCCCAAAGATGATGAAAGCCATCAATATACTGATTATCCTAGAGTTTCTTGAGATCTCTTTTTGAGGGTGAAGTGTCTTCTGCTGAAGTAAGCAGGATCTGTGGTAAAACCGGCCTGTGCTGCTCTCCTGGAGTGCTGGGGGACCTCCTCAGAGGCGGGACAACTGGGGACTGGCTTTTGATTGACTCCTCACTGCCTCCTGTTGAAGCAGAAACCATCTGTAGTGCTCTGTTCATGGTCAAGTCAGCTTTGTATTTTCTTTATTATCTGGTCACAATGCAAGTGCCTCACTTGAATAAGCTGTGACGATGATATTAGTAGATTGTGGGATGTGAGTCATCAGAGGTGGTTTGGTTACCTAAAGTTACTCTTTTATTTAAGGTGGGTTGTTTTTAACGTAGCTTCATTGAGTTCGCTGCAGGTTCTTGCCCACTTTGTGGTTTTGTTTTTTCCACCATCATTTATCTGCCAGTACTTTTTACTTGTCAATAGCTCATTACAACTTTTTAACTTGATAAAACTTGTGCATTGAGTGTAGCATGTGAAATGCAAATTCAGAAGAATATAAGAAGAATATAATCTGTTACCAATGTCATCTTATGTAGCAGACATATGAAGTGTTGCTGAGTTTGGCTTACTTAGACTGGTGTTTGGCTTCCTGTTGCTTGCAGATGCTACTGTGTAAAGTTCAAATACATTTTGTTGGAAACAATGCTAAAGAAGCTCCCAAGTTCAGTTTTTTTGCCGGTGCATTCTTCTCGGACACGGAGGTAGGACGTGTTGCAAGGACAGTGTTTGGTCGTACTTTGTGAGACCTGAAAAATTGCCACTTGCTTGACAAAAGCATTAGTACCTTGCTTTTAATTTTTTCTTATAGCTTTCTTCTCTAACCTGTCTTCCACTGATACATCCTCCCTGCTGATGGAAATTTTAGTAAGTCAGGTCATTTGCCTATCTGTTCTCCTTGCCCTTTCCTCCTCTCCGTCCTCCGTGCAGCGAGGGCAGGTCTTGTTCTTCAGTCACAGGTATCCACTCTTTCAGTTCCCAAAGGTGTCTGATGCCCTGTTGTGGGAAAGGATCCTCGCCACTCCCCTACAGCCTTATTTATGGTCTTCCTCTTAAACAGCTCTCTGTGCAGCCTTCATTTTTCAAACTAGGGATTGTGCCGTATGATAACTGGTAAATATGACAGTGAATTTCTTTCCCCTGCCTCCTAAGCACTGATGAAGCCTTACTTTAAAAGACAAAGGCTTATTCAGCTGCAGGAACAACCACCAAAATGTTGGCAAGTGTCTCTGTCCATATATAGCCAACTCAGCCAAACAAATGCCGTGTCGAAGTCACACGCATCGCCATGTTCCCGAACAGGGACATTGTTTCCCAACTTTCATGTATACAGTGGTGTCACTAACAAAAACTGTGTGGCTTCTTCTGTTTTGCTTTCTTTTTCCTAAAGGAGTGACACATTTCTAAACCGTGTCCAGCATTTCCTGACTGTCTCCTGACTGTTGGACATTCAGGACATCTAAACAGTGAGTCAGTTAGGGAGGCTTAGGTTCAGACTTCCCTTCCAGGTTGCTCTTGAGGCATCCAAAAAAACCCCTGTATGGTACTCCTGCAATGTTTAGAATACAGTGGCTGTTAATATCTATTGTCTTATCTACAACCAGGCTAAATCTAAGACAATTTTTAAACAGTCCTTTTGGGTAGTCTTTGTAACTTTCCGGATGTTTAGTAAATATGTATTTGTCAGCTAATACAGGCAAGATAGGACCCTGATATTTTCTGAATAGGCTTTTAATAGCAGGATTGCCTAGAATGTAAGCTGGCACGCTAGTTGTGCAAAAATGTGGTGGTTTCTTTTTTTTGTCTGTCTTTGAAAATACCTCATTCTTCATAGCGGTTTTTTTCCTACTTGTCTCCTATTGTAGATGCAATTGATTGCATCTTCTGTTTTTATGGATGCACTTGGAATGTTGTGGACTGGTTTTGCACAGAACACCATGTCAATGCTTTAATGCTGATATTTTATTCTCTTTGGCTGCTCTTTCAGTGGCTGTTTTCACCTCAGAGGTATTTGCCTGCTTTGCACAGGAACAAAAATAATTACTTGAGCTACATCAGTACATTAATTTGCTGCAACATCAGAACAATACTAAGAGAATGAAGAATTGGAGATACTTACTGGTTTGATTTGACTTGGCCATGAGATGCAACTTTTCTTTAAGAAAGAGTATCCAGTGGATTAGAATTTCTAATTCATGACAAAATTGTAGTCTTGTAGGTTGTGACAGAATTGTAGTCTTACTCATCAATAGTAATAAAAACAGAAGAGAACTGAACTAGAAATTATGTTGGTTCTATTCTCAGGAAGAAGCGAGCTTCTTTCTGGGAAGACATCGAATCTGCTGTCTGGTATAACATAAACTGTAGCAAGATATTTTTTTCTTTTTGCCCAGAAAGTTAAATACTTACCTGTAAAATTGAAATGGACTGCAGGTCTTAATTATATAAAACGTGACCTTTTTACCTACTTTTCTAATTATTAAATAGAGTAGTTTTCTGAGGAAGCCGCTGTCATCTTACTGTTCATGTAAACACAGAGGAAAGGGCTTTTTCTGGTGGAAGGCATGGAAAAAATGTCAACTGTATTTTCCTCTAAACAATATATAAATATATAAGGAAGTGACCTAATTTATCTATTCTTTAACTTAAACTATGTCAGGGTGGTTTTTTTTATCAGTATGTAAGACTTCTGAAATAAATTCTGAAATGTGGTCTTGCCTTTGCTGTCTAGACAGACAGTTTAATCTGTCTCTGAGAACTTCCCAAGGATTCAGTTAATTGTTTCGATATGTATTTGGGAAATAAAGCCTAGAAACTATTTGATACATCTTTCAGCTCTGAAACATCAGTATGTTTCTGTCCTCTGGCCCTAAGTATATACAGTTCCTAATCTTCTGCCCTGTAAAATGTTTCAGCCTTTAAATCACTGTGGAACTGGAGGATATCTGAGTTTTAGCTTAGACTTCACATCGTGGTGAAGATGTGTGTCTTGTATCAGGGAAGGCTGTGCAGGTTCACCTGTGGTGCAAAAACATGAATGGTGAATTTAGACCTTTTCCAAATACAATGCACAAAACCTAAAATCAGCTCCGGAAAAGCATTTATGCCTCTGAGCACGTGAACATGCCATACAGCTCTTGAACTTACTTTCAATTTTTAAACATGCTGGACTTTATTCACAGCATACAGGTTATCGTACCAATACAGTTGTGAAAGAGTTGTTAATGTAAGTCGGGATTCTGAGATATGGGCAAACATAGGTCATGGCTGGAAGGTGTCACAGCTCTGGGCTTGAATCACAGCTATTGCTTTTTGTTGTAGGCTTGTGTGCTGGCCCAGTATTTCTGGAAGGTCAAAGATGAAGCCCAGAAACTCAAATTTATTTAAACTTAAAGCCTGGTCATGTGAATGCCAACCATGTTAAAGTGCATACTGGATTGGGCTAAGCTGTCCTATAGCATGTATATGGTAGAATAGTAATCTTTTCTGTGTGGTAAAGGCATCAATTATACTGAAATTCTGTGGAGTTTGTTTTTTTTGTGGTGGTTGGTTGGTTTTTTTGGTGGGGATTTTTGGGGGTTTTTTGTGTGTTCACCACAGTACTTAAATATTTTCCAGGAAGAGTGTTTGTGGAATAAAATTGACTTCTCAGTGGAAAACAGCAAAGTTCCTTGCTTCTTTAAGCTTGATTCATAACATAATTGCTGGAATAAAAAGTCAAGATGTTGCAGAAGCTCTGCTTGTATTAGCAAATAGAGCTCTGTGCACGTTATCCATGCTATATGGCTCTCTACCACGTACAGTTGTAGATCAGCAGCAGTCATAGCAGTGAAAATGGGACCACTTGTTCAGTTCTGCAGTAT